CAATTTAATCTAAAATATCTGAAAATTTCAAGGAAAAATAAGCATCATTTTCCCAAAAAATACATGTTTTATTCGGAGAAATCTGGCAACTCTCAAATGTTCATACGGCGTTCTTCCTTAGCTTGGCAGTGTTATGCACATATTCTTTAGGGTCTCAGGGCTCATGTCTCAGTGCACCCTCGGACACAAGGTGTCCCAGCCGATGATTCTCCCTCCAGGGTAGACTTCGGCACTATCCGGGCAGATATGCAGCCGTGAGTTTGGTTTAGTTGGTCGGCTCGACCTCGGTCCCCGATCTCCCTAGCCAGCTCCTGATCAGAGCCTTTATCTAAACTAGAGCCAAACCAACATATGATAGTTTTAAGCGATTAGATGACCATCCGGCCGAAACCCACCCCATGTGGGGTGGTAGTGCGAAACGGATGGAAGTCGAAATCCCCGATTTTGGTTTACCACAACCGGTGGAACAAATCGCTTAAACTGTCATATCTTCGAGAAGATTCGCCACTTTTTCTCCCGGTAGAACTACAAAAAAAAAAAAAAAAAAAAAAAAAAAAAAAAAAAAAAAAAAAAAAAAATGTCTCAGTGCACATAGTTCCGTTTGATAGAAATACGTCCAATAATGCTCTTTATCCAGGCGATTTGGACGACCCGGATGGTCGGGTGTCATCGAAATGGCGAATTGCGGCGCAGTTTTACGCGGGTGATTCATCGGAACATGATTTAACGTAAACAAAGGCTGCGGCCGCCGAGACAGCTGGGCCCATTCATATCCTCTGTTGATCCAGTTATTCCGGGCGACCCACGCGCTGCCTCCTCCAAGTCCTGTTTACCAATATCGCGATTACATTTTGAATCATAGCCCGGGTTTCCTATCCCCACCTCGCGCCGTGCCACTGCGCCGTACGCCAAATGAAAAACGGCTCCGCGATTTTGTCAATACGTAGCTCTGCTCGAATTCTCGAATGCATCCATTTCCGTCGTGTTTTCTGCTTGCGATCGTGGTTCTTAGCAACTTCGAAGAATTTCCAAGTGTTGGTTTACATTCGATCGTTAGTCATCGAATTGGCCTACATTTTGCGATGAGGAACCACGAGCAGGGCTTCCGGCAGTCTGTTGAAAATCTGGAAATCGAAATCAGGGAAAATCGGGGAATTCATGGGGAAAGCTAGGGATTTTTGGCTCAGCATCTTCGGCCGGTGCCATTTGGGAGAGCGCGAACGACTTCCAAGTATTTACCTTTCCCCTAATTTGAAGCTTTAGAAGTGGAAATTGTGTCCGAAGCTTATTGTTAGTGGAATAAGTATGCGTAAGGGGNGGGGGGGGGACTAATTGAAAGAATTGTTCTAAGATCAGGATTTGGAGTTTTTTGAGGAGTGGAAAAGCAAACTAAAAATCAGAGAAAGGGAGGAAATTGGAAAATGAAGAAAATAGCGAGTTCGTGCATTTAAGCACCTTTCTGCGTAGGTAAGGTAGTGAATAATTCAATTGATCCTTATTTTGCAAAAAGTAACTATGTATCTCGTTTTATGCAGAGTTCTCTGAAAGTTCTATCTTCAAATGGGAGTTATCATTTGTTACTCAAGAGTCGTAAATTCGTAAATATTGCGTAATCTTTAGGCGACCACTCAATTTATTTCCCTCATGGATGGAGCCACAGGATGGCTTCCATTCCCGGCGTGCGAACTCTGCTTCACAAGGGTTTTCATTTTCCATGTAGAAGCCAGTACCCGAACCTCTGTGCTGTTGTACTAACCATTTGAAAATACCTGTCAATCCTATGCATTTTACTCTGTGTAACAGGTTTGAATTTGGAAACTGTGCTTTATAATCCATTATAGTGAGATTTTTACGTTGAGAGATTGCAATTACGTACATTGCGGCTCTTAAGGCTATCTCTTCAATTCACTTTTTTTTCACCTTCCCTCTCGGATCTGCAATTTTTATCCTGTATTCTAAAATATATTCAATTTTACTTCTTCCCGTGAAACGAAAAAAAGGGAAAAAATGTCTCGCGTGGTAATCACGTGATTTTTAGACTTATTTCTGCAACGATGGCAAAATCAATTAATGTTGCCAAATTTTTGCGCCAAGTGACACACTTTTTTAGGCGTATGCAATTAAATAATTCCGTGCAAAACAGGAAAAAAGGGTGAAATCATAAACATTTGGACGTTGCCAAATTTCTAACACAAATTTTATGGACAACTGCTGAATGGTTTTCTTCTTATTCCCAGATAATATTATTTGCAATAATTTTTAGTGTTTCTGAAGATTCTGAAGGGAAAATATTATTTGTAACTCCTCTCAAAATTAAAGTGCATGGAAAAAGTTTGGCATCATTCATTTGCTCTGACGACGTTCCTGCATAACATGGCAGTTATAGGCATAGTGAATCGTTTTTCGCTTTGCCAATGCGCATTTGGATGGAAATTGGAGTCACCACTTTTGCGCCACCAGTACCGAAATTGTACGTCCGCGGTTTCGTGTTCGACGCCAGAGGCACATGCGTTAAATTTCATTCTCTTTCGTTCCGCTCCGTTGACGTCACAGTCGAAAACAGAGCGATGCACGCGTTTTCTACATTCTTGAAAGCGATGGCGACAACCTGTTTTCGTTGTTTTGCACAGAACTCCCATCGGGTTACAAAATGTTGACGCAAACCTGTGTTTTTACGTCACTTTTTTGTTGACCCGACATGGAACGGCGCGCCGCAAAAGTCGAGCATGTTTTTACCACGACTTATAGCTTTAGTTTCCTATGCTCTGGATCCGTCCAATAGGAATTGTTTGCGGTTTTTATAATCCATCACTGAGGTAGGGCTCATTATTACGGGTATTTTGAATATCTTTGAATATGAGGGTGTTGTCCTAGACGTCGTCCTCACATGGTTTTAGAAAAACGGAAAGATTATCCGTGAAACTCACAATCAGATTTACCGAATTTTTTATATTTTCTGTGATGAATTAAATGTAATTAGCGGCCTAAGTCGCGGCAAACCTATAAAATTCCGGAAATTTTAAAGTAAGCCGGGAAGTCAGGGAAAAATTAGATTTCGCCGGCGGTCAAAGAATTTTTTTTCACCTCAAAAAACCGCAAGAGCGCATAGCGCGTGCGTATTTTATAAAAATCATGGGAAATATGGGAAATTTTGCTGCAGGAATTACTATTTTCTTAAAAAGAAACAAAATTCTCGTCAGGGAGAGGGAATTATGATATTTAAGCTCAATCGCCTCCTGCATTTTGCCCTGCCCTCATGCCTTGCATACCATGCTGTTCTCAGTCGGATTTCGTTCCAGATGTATAGTCCTAACTTTCTGTTATTAGGTATCATTGACTGTGTTCATGTTCCCTGCTCAAGTTTTCGCGCTCTCTAACCGATCCATGATTTTTTAGTTTTTTTCCCCGAAGGAAATACACTACACTGAAAAAAAACTCCGGCCGTGGGAGCCACAATTACGGGCTATATAGACATACCGTCCGTTCCGGGCTCAAAGGCTGAAAATTCCGGCTGCTGGAGGCGTAGTTTCGATTGCTCCGGGTTCAGAGACCGAAGCTACGGCTCCAGCAGCCGGAATTTTCGGCCTTTGAGCCCGGAACGGACGGTATGTCTATATAGCCCATAATTGCGGCTCCCACGGCCGGAGTTTTTTTTTTTTCAGTGTACTGTTTAGAGATGACCGCTACCCATGCGAAAAGTCACGAGCCGCTCTTTTAACTAATGAATGCATTTAAAATTGTACTCCTTTCTTTTTCCTTTTTTTTTAATTTTTTATTTTTAAATTTCTGTGGCAACGAAGCGTCCACGGCTAGAGTCCGGGCAGGAGTAAAACAAACGCACGATCACAAAAGCATTCTTAAAACAACTGTCAGAAAAGAAAAGTGGAAACAGGAAACTACCCCGCGCCGCGTCCCTCTCCCGATGGCCTCTCGCGCAGTGGAGAGCGCGCAGGTGGAACGGGGCTGCGACCGAGTTTCGGGGGCGCCTCGGCCGGCGGGGGCGGGGGTGAAAAGGGAAAGAGAAAAGGCTCCCGTTTCGTTCACTACGGTACCGTCCCATCGCATCGTCGAGTAGGGAGAAAAGGTGCGAGTATCCGGAAATTCGAATCAGCTGTAATTGCCCATTGAAATCGACACACGTCGCATGCGACAGCTCATCCACCCTAGTTTTTTCTCCCTTTTTAATGGATGTTTTCAATATGCCATAATAACGATTACTACCAATATTACAAGACATTACAACTCGCACTACACCCATGAGTCAGTCGCGCTAGGTACAGCTAGTCCCAGCCAGTGTGAGGGTAACTTAGAATCAAAACGGGTACTCGCATTCCCGTCTTACTACGCGGAGAAGCGCTCGTCCAATGAAAAAATGGACCAACCACGGATCGCCGTACAAGAAAGCATGGGAGCTAGATCGTCCATTTTCTGATTGGTTACGCGATTTGAAGCGCGCTAAAACACGTCCAAACGTCCATTAGCGAGACATAGGAGGAATTTTAGCGGATTTTAGACGTAAATTTTTGGAAAACCTGTCAATGGAATATTGCCAAAACTTTGAGAACCACAGGTAACATACACAACATTCTGTCGCAGTTGCAATTTTTTACCATCACAGTACCCATATAAGGGCTCGCAATTTTTTGCGAATCCTCATGCTGGGAGTAAGATTTGAACTTGCAGAAGTTGATGACGAGAGACCGTGGTGGTGATGGACCAGAGAAGTTTGTCCATTTGAAGAAGTAGTGTGGAACTTATGAAACACTGGAGTTCTGTAATAAAGCGAAGAGACGCTGACTTCCATGGTTTCAGGGTTGAGTATTGTCTGATTCTCATGCATCCTAGCCGAGAGTGTGCCCTAAGCTACCGCGGCCGGTTTCAAAATATTATGTTTTTGTCGAGCCTGCAGTGTGAAAGGAAAAATCAAGCGAGAAAATTTTCAGCGTTATACTTGTGTATTTCAATGCTGCAGCTCCGTAAGTTCTACGTTTTTGTTTCAGGATGCTGAGGGAATGCTAGGCAGTACGCCTCCCCCGAACTCTGCTCCACAGACTGGCAAACCAACCTCTTCGCTCTATGGTATGTTTTTAGTTTTCGTGTAAAAGCTTTCATTAGTTTTTTTAGTTAAGTATGGAAAATGTCAGCAAAGAAATATTTTGCTTTGTAAAACGTTGAGTCAGCATCACGGGCAATTTTAAAGGCAGTCCGGAAGTACTGATAAAGTGCGGAAATTCCGCAAGTAGGTCCGGAATTTATTCATTTTTTTGTCATTTCCGTCGCAATTTGAGCGGTCAATTCAAATTTTTGAAATTCGTCGAATTTTGTCAATTGCAGGTACTGAAAAATTATTGAATTTTTCTGTTGAAGAGGTACTGAATTTCCCGGGAATGCACCGAAACAGTACCGGAAAAGTACTGATTTTAGCCAGCCTGTTTTAGTAGACACCCTGATAGCAAATTTTCGTTTTTTTTTTTTTTTTTTTTTTTAAATTTCAGTAATTTTTTATCCGTCGGGCACCTTTCCATCCATCCTCAGAAAAATTTGTGGCTACGCCACTGTCGTTCATCGAAGACAGTCTAACGTTGAAATAATGTGGCAGCGAGGTTGTGAATATGGCAGCGATTGATAAGATCTCGAGCCGCGGTCCCCGAAGACGACGATGACGACGGCGCAAACAAACGGAGGATACTCCGCTGATAGACGCCGATTCATGCTAATTTATGTGAATATTTTTGAACCACATATTTTTTTATGGCGGGCCCCATTGTGCATCTGTCCTCGTTGTCACATCTCCTCCATACATTTCACGCCGGGAACAGGGGGCCCCGACTCTCGTTCTCGCCCCCTCGGTGCCCGTCCGCAATGGACCACTAGACAAGGTACGAATTTCAGGATTCTGATACATGTTTTCAACCAAAATTTTACGTAAAACACGATGCGCACAACAGAAATTACCGAAATCGACTCCTTATGAAGATATTTAATGATTCTTGATGTGTGAATTCAAACCACCCGCTCATGAAAACTCAATGCTCTACGTGATTCACATCGCGCGTTAAACGTTATCATGACAGTCTCTTAGGATATAAAAATCTGGCAACCTCAATCTTGACGCTTTGGCTCAGCTATAGCTTATAGTTTGAACAACACATGGTGGGAAATGAACATTTCTCGATTGAGAGGCTTGCTGAAACCGTTGTAGTGCGCGATTTGACTCACGTAGATCTTTGAGTTTCTTGTGAGCGGGCAGTTCAAATTCCGCGTAATCAATGTGAAATAAAAAGGTTAATATCTTCGTTAGGAGTTGGTTTCAGTAATTTCGTCGCGCGAATCGTGTGCTACATGAAATTCTGGTTAAGAAACATGTATCAGAATGCTTGAATTCGTGCCTTGTCTAGTGGTCCATTCCTCTTGACTTTTCCGGCGAGATAGGGAAAAACATCGTACAACATTCGAATGTTTCCTAGTCTCTCTGATCAAATAATTATTTTCTGGAAAGCTTGTTCATTTTTTAATTTTTTTTCCGAGTCTTAATTCAAAATCAAATTAACAATAAGTTAATTTTTTAATAGGTATGAGAGTAGTCAATAATAGGGAGTAAAGTCGTATAAAAATTCAAATGTTGCCGAATTACTCTTATAAAATACTAATTTTCTGGAAAACGTGTTCATTTCTTTTAAACAAAAGTTTTCGGAGGCTTTATTCCAAATTTAATTCCGCTAATTTAATCAAGAAAAAATACTTACGAAGGTATAAATTGTGCCAGGTCAAGCACTAACGGGGAGAGAAAGAAGGCAAGGTTTTTTGAAGTTCGACTCTTCATTTAGACTTAATCTTGCGATCAGGAACACTAGAACGCTCATCCATAGAAGCACCTACTCGCACAGGGAAACTTATGACACATCGTCATTTTCAAAAATTAGGCGTAAATCGTAGATACTTATTGCAAAATGCAGTTCATTCGTGGTCGGCCCATAATTTTTCTCAAAAATAAGCATTTTATCGGGAGAAATTCGAAAACATTCGAATGCTCATGCGACGTTTTTCCTCTCAATGGAAGTGTTTGACTTGATATGAATCTAAGTTGCCAGATTGTGCAATTAAATATGGATATTTTACGAGTGCTTCAATAGGGGAAAATGCTAATTCTCCAGCACTATCTGGCAACAATGGTGCGAGTCATCTCTGATTTTTCAATGGTGAATCGTTCGTTCTCTCTCCATTGCTCCCTGTATCCGGACAGAGCAGTCGTAAAGGCAAAGGAGCATCGTTGAATGATCTGGTGACCTTCGCAAGGAGGAGAGCCGGGGAAGCAATCAAACTGCATCAATGCATCTTGTGCATAAAGTGCACACACCTCTTCAGTCTTGTCTCTAGTAGGCATGATGGATCGATCGTGTTGCGCTGGCAGCGAGCGTGAGGAAAGATCTCTGCAGCGCTATACTGCTGTGCTAAGGAAGAACGCCGTATGAACATTCGAGAGTTGCCAAATTTCCTTAGATAAAACGTGTATTTTTGAGGTAAGTTACGCATAGCTTTCCTCGAATTTTTCAGACATTTTCGATTAAATTGCGAACAAAATAGTCGTAACATGCTGAAGGAAAATATCCACAATTGCCCCGGTAAATTTGTTCTTTATCGAAGGAGATATGGCACCGCCTAAAGGTTCCTACGGCGTTTTTCCATAGCACGACAGTATGAGAACAAATAACGTAAGAACATTCGAATTTGCCAAATTTCTTTTGACGAAGTATCTGCTCTAGAGGAAGTTATGAATATTTCCTCGAAATTTTTGACGGTTTTTATCTGATATTTGGCAACTTCCAAAAGAACTTACGACGTTCTTTCTTTATACGGCAAAGTAATTTTGAAGTGACGTTGCCATAATATTTTTAAAGGTCAATACTTTTTAAAACCAACGAATGGCAGCATGGGAAAATGCACTACTTACTGAACTAGTGTATTCTACTCGACAAGCACACATACGAAAAAATACACCGTCACTCAAAGGCGGTCCAAAAGTTTACGTGTTGTGGATTTGCTGACCAATAACGTCTTTTAGCCGCCCTGTTTCGGTTGCCCGGTTCAGTTTTTCAAAATGTGTTCTCTTAATTCATTTTCCAAATCGTTATTTTCATCTGATTTTATTTTCAAGTTATGATTATCATTTTCGCTCATCATTTGACGAAAGTAGAGTGCATTGAAAGGCGAAAACCGGACGAAGGTAAACTTCTCTTGTACATGTGTGCTGCAAAAGATTTACTTCTCATTTATGGAAATCTTTCATGGTTGCAGCCATCATTTTCATTTCATGTGAGTCATTCAATATGATGCCCAAAACTCATCATAAAGTCTAGTTGCTCCACGTCACGTTTAACTGCGCTAACGTCTCGCCACGTTGGCAAAATTGCTTAGTCCGTGGACTTGGCAAATCTTTTACCCAGTCCGTGGACTGACCGATGTTTTTGCCCAGTCCGGGAACTATGTGCGACTAGCTCGCGGACTAGCCGGTCTGAAAGTCTGAAAATTACCCGATCGTCAATTATAGTCACAATCCATATGGTAACTGACGAAAGATGGGTAATCATCAACAGTCACCGAATCGGAAGTTCCGAACTCGGTTAGAATGGCAGCTTGGTGGTTCGGGCACGAAAGTAGTACCGAACCTCCAAATCAAATTCGCTTTTTCAAAAATTTTCGTTAAGGACTCTAGGCGCAGCTCATTGTTCACACGACCTTTTTTTTTCTTCATTTTTTTTCTTTCCATCTCATTGTTTATTTTTTCAGAGCACGATGAAGAATATATGGACGAAAATGTGAAAAAAATTTCACTCGGAGACCGATATGCATAGTCGGTAACGCGATGCATCGTTGCAGTTGCAAGCAATCTCTAATGCACACGCGACTCGCAAGTCGCAACATACCGGGAAAAGATTAAAATATCACGTGAAATCGCGTGAGGGCTCCCGATATCGTATCAGATTTTCGCTGCGCTTGCACTCGTGAAGATCGAGTTGGGTTCCATCGAATGGGAGGGGGCGGCGGGGTGAGGGGGCGCCTTCCCCCCGTGGACTTATGACGTCCAATCTCGGAATCTCGCCGCTTTATCCCGTGTCGACTGAGTTTTCCGATCCGTCTTTTCCTCGTGCAGTTTTCCTCATCCTGGCATTTCCTTCTCGCGATTGCACGATTCCTTCTTGCGATTCAGGATGTTGAGGATTTTTAGAACCGTCTCGAATGGCATGCGCACGCATTCACACTATTAATACTTACCCCTCTCTTTGTATCGTCTGCATATTTTTTTTCATAGAGGAAAAAAAGGAAGTGTTTGCATCTCGGGCATTTTAGATTTTTTTGATGACGTAGGTCGGTACGGCCACGGACAATTTGTATTATCGATTTTCTTGGAAATGCTGCAGTTTATAACAAGCGTTTAAACAAAAGTTGAGCTTTAGCCGATTTTACAAATATATGCAATGATTGCGACTCAGGCCATGCTTTAATAATAAAAAAAGCAATGTGCAAGAGGATATTAGTATATTTACAATTTTACCATTTTTTACAATTATTTGTAAAATCGGTTAATAGCTCAACTTCTGTTTTAACATAATGAGTAGCCGAAATCCGAATAATTTTGACGTTTAATATGCGAGACAGAAACTTTTGACAAGGATGACAGGTACACCAGACTGTGCTCGGGAAAAATGTATTTGTATTTCGGAAATCGGCACCATCATAATTATTCTCTGTCACCCTGTGGACACAGTGGTTATTTTCTCTATATTGATTTGCAATGTTTGCATTGCTACTTCATTCTAAACGGCCTCGTGGAATTATCTCTCAGTTCTACTCAATCAATGAATGACGAATTTTTTCCAACTGTTTTCCCGTGCTCATCAATCAGGGGTAGGAGAATGAAGATCGAATCGAATATTGCCTCTAGCATAGACAAATTATTTCACGCAGAAAAAGACTTCGCCAATATAATCAATGCGGTTCGGTTCGATGTTTTCGGGTCATGAACCTGGCGCATCGGTTACTCTAACCGAGGTCATCAGGGCATGACCTCTGAGGTTCAT